TGAAATCTGAAAACATTTCACGTGTTTCTTTTAATTGGTTTGTTGAAAGGCTCATTTTCTGTAAATAATTCTGATTAAATTAATTTAAAGTGTTCTGGCTGAGTTCTGTGTTCATTCAGTGACTGCAGTGTGTTCAGTTTACATCAACAAATACTAAATTTTACCTTTAACATCCAGATACTTCAGGCTGTTCTGCAGTGAGTGACAGTCTAGCATAGAAAAGCATTATGAGTAGAAATAAAGAAATGTAGGGTTGTTTGTTTGTTTCCGGTGAGCTGGACAATCAGTTTGGATGCACAGTCAAGCCCATAATTATTCAAATTTTGACTTAAAGTTACTATTATTTAACCAGCAAGTTCTTCTTTGACTGGAAATGACTCTCCCAAAAGATAATAAGATGATGTACAAGAGGCATTATCGTGGAAAAAAACATTTCTCAGCTTTTATTTACATTTGAGCAAAAACTGTCACGTCCAGAATTATTAAGCTGTCAGTCTCTGGGAAAATCCAAAGTTGTGGACCAGTCCAAATAGTCCTGATTAACTGGGAACAGCTGTTTTAATCAACTCAGCAGGTGAAAACCAGCAGCTCTCTGCAGTGGGTTTGTGGACAGTCATGGTTAAGAGAAGGAGCTCAGTGAGGAGCTGTGGCTGCTCACAAGTCAGGAAAAGGCTACAAGGCATTATATCTCAATGTTTTAAAGGACCAGTGGCTACAGTGCAAAGTGTTATTAAAAAGTACAAGATGTTCCACACTCTGGAAAATCTCAGAGGAGGCGGTCGGAAGCCCAAAGTGACACCTGTGCTGGCCAGGAGGACAGTGAGAGAGGTGAAAAGAATCCAAGGATCACCACCGAGGCCATTCTGGTGAATCTGGGCTCTGCTAGTGGCAATGTCTCAAGGCAGACAGGCCAACGGACACTGCACGCTGCTGGGGTCCACGGGTGCAGATCAAGGACGACGCCACTTCTCCAGATAAGGCAAGACTTCCGATCGTATGTGTTTTGGTCAGATGAAACAAAAATGTAATTGTTTGGTCACAATGAGGTTTCCTTCATGTGGCGTAAAAACGAGAAGCCTTCAGCCCAAAGAACACCGTCCCCACTGTCAAGCATGGTGGTGGGAACCTAATGCTTTTGGGTGTTTTTCGCCAATGGACCAGGGAACCAATCACAGTAAACGGCACCATGAAAAAAGAGCGATACATGAAGATTCTCAACGACAACATCAGGCAGTCTGCAGAGGAACTTGGCCTTGGGCACCAGTGGACATTTCAGCACGACAGTGACCCAAAACACAGCAAGTGTGGTGAAGAAACGGTTAGCAGACAACATTAACGTTTTGCAGCGACCCAGCCAGAGTCCTGACTTCAATCCAACTGAGAATCTGTGGAGGGAGCGAAAGATCAGGGTGATGGTAAGAAGACCCTCCAATCTGAAAGCTTTGGAGCTCATTGCTAAAGATGAATGAGCAAAAATAGCTGTGGAGACGTGCAAAACGCTGCTCTGCACTTATAGGAAGCGTTTGATTGCAGTAATACCCCATAAAGGCTTTTCTATTGATTATTGAGAAGGGTATGAATAATTCTGGACTTGATACTTTTTGCTCAAATGTAAATAAAAGCTGAGATTTTTTTTTTTTTCTTTTTTCACAATGATGCCTCTTGTACACAGTCTTATCTTTTGGGAGACACCTGTGTCATTTCCGGTCCAAAAAAAAAGAAGAAAAAAACTTGCTTGTTGAATAAAAGTAACTTTAAGTCAAAATTTGCCCGGGGTATGAATAATTATGTGCTTGACTGTACAAATCAGTGTCTCAGCAATGTGACACAAGGATCAAAAAGAAATAACAATTCAGCAAAGCGTCACACGATGTTAATGTAACTTAAATATTTCTAAAACAATGTTGCCTACTGGAGAAAACACTGCCCCCTACCGTCAGTCAGTCAGAACAACAGCACAGCAGGCTCTCTGACTAACTGCGCACTGAGGGAAGGTCAGTGGTCTTTTTTATAGCGCTTCTCTACTCTGAGCACTCAAACACAACTTGCCTCATCTAATGTTCACACTTTGATGGATGCATCAGAGCAACTTGGGGTTAGTCTCGCTCAAGGAGATTTCGGCATGCGTATTAAATCTGCCAGAGATTGAACCACCAACCTTCACTCACTCTGATTTTTTTTTT